GTGCCACCCCACCTGCTTGATTTGGTTAATCCCTAAAATACAACACTAAAGCTCAGGCATGTTGGCATCGCACTCCCAGAATTGGAATTTTAATGGATTTTTGGTGTATAATCTAAACTACACTCAATATAGAAATATCCTGGTGGGTTCCAGCTCAGTGCCATGCCACTAAAAAAATCACCTGCTCAACTGGGTTAATCCATAAAATACAGCAGCAAAGCTCAGGCATGTTGGCATCACACTCCCAGAATTGGAATTTTAATGGATTTTTTGTATAATCTAAACTACACTCAATATAGAAATATCCTGGAGGGCTCCAGCTCAGTGCCATGTCACCAAAAATCACCTGCTGGATTGGGTTAATCCATAAAATAAAACAGCAAAGCTCAGGCATGTTGGCATCACACTCCCAGAATTGCAATTTTTATTATAATGGATTTTTGGTGTATAATCCTAACTACACCCAATCCAAAAATATTATCCTGGAGGGCTCTACCTCAGTTACATGCCACCAAAAAAATCACCTGGTGGATTGGGTTAATCCATAAAATAAAACAGCAAGGCTCAGGCATGTTGGCATCGAGCGTGTTGGCACCACGCTCCCAGAATTGGAATTTTAATGGATTTTTGGTGTATAATCTAAACTACACTCAATATAGAAATATCCTGAAAGGCTCCAGCTCAGTGCCATCCCACCAAAAATCACCTGCTTGATTGGGTTAATCCATAAAATACAACACTAAAGCTCAAGCATGTTGGCATCACGCTCCCAGAATTGGAATTTTAATGGATTTTTGGTGTATAATCCCAACTACACCCAATCCAAAAATATTATCCTGGAGGGTTTCAGCTCAGTGCCACCCCACCAAAAAACATCTGCTGGATTGGGTTAATCCATAAAATACAACAGCAAAGCTCAGGCGCGTTGGCATCGCGCTCGCAGAATTGGAATTTTTATTTTAATGGATTTTTGGTGTATAATCCTAACTATACCCAATCCAAAAATATTATCCTGGAGGGCTTCAGGTCAGTGCCACCCCACCAAAAAAATCACCTGCTCAACTGGGTTAATCCATAAAATACAACACTAAAGCTCAGGCATGTTGGTGTTGCATTCCTAGAATTGGAATTTTTATTTTAATGGATTTTTGGTGTATAACCCCAACGACACCCAATCCAGAAATACTATCCTGGAGGGCTCCAGGTCAGTGCCATCCCCATCAAAAAACACCTGCTTGATTGGGTTAATCCATAAAATAAAACAGCAAAGCTCAGGCATGTTGGTGTTGCATTCCCAGAATTGGAATTTTAATGGATTTTTGCAATATAGAAATATCCTGGAGGGTTTCAGCTCAGTGCCACCCCACCAAAAAAATCACCTGCTTGATTGGGT